CAATACTCAGCATAATTCACAAGACATGATGCAAAATATTATGATACACAGTTAAGCACAATAAACATCCCAATTACACAACGGTACCACTCATGGTAAGTATAGTGAGAAGACTCACCTCGTAAGCTAGCAAGTAAAAGTCTCGTACTCGGAAATCTCGAACTAGCCTCCACCTAACACATAGGATAATCATTTCTAATTACTCTACATATACTCAAATATACCAAAGGTTGCTCTCTTTCTTGGAATGGGTAAAAGACCATTTTACCCCTCCATGGTCTTCATTACTCATATTGACCAGACCCTAAAGTCAACAGAAGTCAACTCGAGTCAACTGTCCAAGTTTGACCCGACTCGCCGAGTGCATCTATGCGAGTCCACCTGTTTTCCTCAGAAGTCTCATGAAAAGTCCAACTCAGCTCGTCGAGTTGATCCCCAACTCGTCGAGCTTCCGTATGGTCAAGCTCATCGGGACAAACCCTAGCCGACTCATCGATTCAGGACATGGACTCGACGAGTCTCTTCGATCTAATTTCTCATTCAGACGTTTTAAGGCAGATCTATCACTGCAAACACTAGATCTACCATCCTAAGGCTCGATTGTCACGTAAAGCTTCGATCTTTATGCTCATGCATGGTGGTTTTGCTCCAATCTACCAATACATGTTCTCACAAGGTGTTAAACACCATACTCCTCATATGAATGAATAAAGTTGGGACCTTTGGGCTCTAGGGACCTCACAAGGTCTAGATCTGAGGTTTAAACCTCTTGATAACTTAGTATGCTCCATGTCCCAAATAAATTGTGATGAAAACCCTAATCTATCAAACTCATGAGATCTAACAAAATAAAGGGGAAAGGTTCAAGCTTTTTACCTTCCTCTTGAAGCTCTGGATGAAATGGCCTGAACCCCAAAAGCTCCTTCTTATTTCTTGCTGAACAAGATCCTCTTCCTCCTCAAGATGCACTAAAATCCTTCAAGGTTAGCTTGGAGACTCTCTTAGCTCACTACACTCGTTTAGGGTTTCACACAGTAGGGTTAAGCAGCTGATGAGCCGCAAATGAGGCTATAAATGTCCTTATATAGGCCCTACACCCAGGGATTTAGGGTTTCTCTCCACAGCGTCTACTCGGCGAGTCGGCTCTCTGACTCGTCGAGTAGATCATTAATCTCATGTGGCACATCGCGACTCTACTCGACGAGTTGTAGCACCAACTCGTCGAGTTGCCCAATAGTCCTCAAAATAAATGAATAGATAATATACCTGGAAGTCCAGATGTTACAAGAGGAAATTTGTGCTGCTATTTGGTCGTACGGGAGTGATAGGACTCCTGGTCCAGATAGTTTTTCATTCCGGTTTGTGAAAAAGTTTTGGGAGCTTATGAAGGAAGATATCTGCAATTTTTTTTGAAGAATTCTTTGATACAACTCATATCCCTAATGGCTGTAATTCTTCTTTCATTACTCTGATTCCAAAAGTAGATAATCCTTCGTTTTTTAAAGATTATCGTCTGATTAGCTTTGGTAATTGATGGTTTGGTGAATACGGTACAATATGCTTTTGTTAAAGGTAGATCAAATCCTAGATGGTCCTTTGATTATGAATGAGCTTATTCAATGGTATAAAAAAAAAGAACTTAATGATTCTTAAGGTTGAATTTGATAAGGCATATGATTCGGTTAGCTGGGAATACTTATTACAGATTATATCTTATATGGGGTTTGATCTGAAATGGATACAATGGATTAAAGCTTGCTTGGTATCTTCCCGAACCTCCATCTTAGTAAATGGAAGTCCTATAAAGGAGTTCTCGCATCTAAGAGGTCTTCGTCAAGGTGATCCTTTATCTCATTTTCTCTTTATTCTTGTTATGGAAGGATTGCATGTGACGGTAGAGGATGTTGTGAGCCATGATCTATTTCGCGGTGTTGTGGTGGGAGACGGTGGTCTCTCATTATCTTATTTTTTTTATGCCGATGGCGCCTTATTTTTGGGAGAGTGGGATAATTAAAACATTGCTAATCTGATTGCTATTCTCAATTGCTTCTACTTGGTGTCAGGCCTTAAATTAAATTTACAAAAATCAAATTTGTATGATATTGGTATTCGTTTTCAACAAGTAGAAAAGATGGTTGTTATTACTGGATGTGCGCCAGCTAGTTTGCCTTTTTCTTATCTTGGGTTACCGGTTGGTGCAAATATGAATCCTATGGTTAATTGGAAAAAAGTGATCCAAAAGTTTGACAAGCGATTGGCTAATTGGAAAGTGAATATGCTTTCCGTGGGAGGTAGATTGATGTCAATTAAATCTATTCTTAATAGGCTTGGTATTTACTACATGTCCATGTTTAAAATGTTGGGGCTTGTGAATAGTGTTCTTGAGTCGTTGCGTTCTCGTTTCTTTTGGGGAGGTAGTGACTCAGATAGAAAGATTTCTTGGATTATATGGAACTTGGTGTTGAATTCTAAGAATAAAGGTGGTTTGGGTATTGGAAGTTTAAAAGCGTTTAATATGGCGTTTCTTATTAAATGAAGGTGGGGTTTTATAATGATGAGGAAGCGCTCTGGGTTAAGATGATTCATAATATCCATGGTGTACATGGTGGGTTGGGAGCGAACTCTCCAAAACCGAAGGGAGGGGGGGTGTGGGCCAATCTTGTGAAGCTCTAGGATAAGCTTAATGCTCTTCACATTGTGCCTTATTCTTTTTTTATCAGACGAGTTGGTAATGGTAGAAATACTAGATTTTGGAATGACGTTTGGATTGGGGAAGAGACTCTTTCTTTGCGGTTCCCGAGACTTTTTGCTTTGGAAAAGTTGAAGGATTGTTGTGTTGCTGGCAGATGGAGTGATAATGGTTGGATTTGGAGTTGGACCCGCCAAATCCGGGTCAATGGTGGCACGACTTCACAATTGTCAAGTTTGATCAGTCTTATTTCTAATGTCTCGTGTGGTGATCGTCCAGATTTATGGGAGTGGGCTATTAGCGCTGATGATGGTTTTACTGTTAATAACACTAGAAAACATATTGATAATAATATTTTGCAGGAATGCATGACTGAGACACGTTGGTGTAAGCTTGTCCCTGTTAAGCTTAATATTCATCTATGGAGAACCATCCTAGACAGACTCCCTACTAGAGACAATCTGGTTAACAGGGGCATTGACTTGACTTCTGTTTTATGCCCTATGTGTTCCTCACAGATTGAAGATTGTAGCCATCTGTTTCTTGTTTGTGAAGTGGCCAAAGAAATTTGGAACAAAGTAGTTAAGTGACTTGATCTTCCTTTTCCTTTGTTCATGAACGTCTATGAGATTATGAGTTGGGTCGATAACATTACATTGAGGCCATCGAAATGAAGAGCGATTGAAGTAATTTTTATCACCACTATTTGGGTTATTTGGTCTTACAGGAATTGCAAAACCCCATTATGTATGACTTTCTCTAATTGACTTTTCCTTTAGCTTTTTGCTAGTTTGTTTTTTTATATAAAATGGTTGTTCTAAAAAAAATAAAGACTATATTAGTGAAAATCTGAAAAAAAAAATAGGACCATTTGTGAAATTTTGTGTAAATATTTAAACAAATTAAGAGTTACATGATTCACAAGAATTTGTTTTCGAAAAAGCACCTTATAATTCATTTTTTTTAGTAAATAACGCAAAAAGAAAAAAAAATCAAACAAGTTTAATGAATAACAACAAAATTATCGCAAAACAAATCATCAAAAGATTTTATCAGAATTTTTTCTATAAATCATGTTATGTTTGTTAATCTAATGATAAACATTTTTCCTTCCTATATATATTAATTTAAAAACATTATTAACTTTTCTAAATTAATCATTGGATTGACGGGTGTGATTGTGTGAATGTCTAGGGGGTGATCAACTCACGAGTAAACTCATGGAACACATTTTTAAAGAATATTTTGTTAATTCGTTAAATTATAAATAAATCTGTTTTTTCTATTTAGTTAAATGGTTTTGTTTTCCATGTTGGTATTTAAATATTGGTTTTCTTCTATATAAATGTGGTGGTTTAGTTTTTGGCTTTGGTAGGAACTCTTCCATATCTTATTTCTATTGATTTGAATATTGTTGTTGATAATGATGATAATATTTTATCGAGCAATGCTTTTATATATATAAAAAATAACATCAAATGGTTATAAAAATAATAACCTTTTAATGAATATCAACTTAAACCCGTTTACTTTATGGAATCATATTTTCAACGATATTGTTTGATGCTTTTCAAAATGTTGAATATGTTTAAAATTCATTGTTACCATTCACTCCGCCTTTATCTTTTGTCAAAAAGTTAGTTTGAAATTTTACTTATATTTTATGATAATAATTATAATAGGGTGTGTTGAACATAACTTATAAAACTATATTAAAAACAAAAAATAAAATCAAAATAACTTATAAATATATATGAAAATAATCAAATATTTATATTTTCATCTATAAATATATGTTCATCTATAAATATATGTATGTTCAATTATTAACATAGAAAATATTTGAAAATAAACGTATACATGGTTTTATAATTTTAGAAGTTTTATTTGATCCATCTCAATTATAAATAAATAAACAAAATTAAACAAAAAACAGTTTTGATGCGAATAAAAACGACATAAAATCCACATCAACACAATTTATAAGGAGTTAGTAAACATTCAGAATCTAAATAAACCAAGATCTGATGAATTCTTGCTCCAACCATTGATTTGTCGTTACTATGGTTATATTTTAAATAATTTTATAAAAATAAGTTGAATTATTTAATTTAAGAAAATCTCAGATAAAGAAGCAATTATATTAAAAAATTTAAGAATTGAGAAAAAGACATTTCTTCGTTGTTTATTTTAGATGATTTGCATAAACAAAAAGGGGTACGAGAGTGTGACAGAGAGAATCACATTCACCCTCTTCTTCCTATGAATTCTCCCATTTAGATCCTTAAACCCACAGTTTCATTCACCAAATATGATGGATTTGATCTCATGCTACAGTCAATACGCAGTACAAGTCTCTGAATCATCGTCATGTTCAAGCTATACAACTGCTTCTTCATGTATAATTTCCCCCAATTTGATCCCATCCACCCAAACCGCCGTTTGTTGTTTGTATAAAACCACCCTCTCCACCGGTGAACACCACTTCATCACCGTCACATGGTACCGGAACGCCACCACCCAAGGCTTGCAGATCAATTCCGGCGACGACTCCACAACGGCCTTCCGTCTAAACACGCATTCCAGACTCTTCCGTAAGAAAAAGGGCAACAAGTCGTTCGAAATCAATGATTCGAAATTCGAAGTTTACTATGATCTCTCATCGGCTCAGTACGGCGCCGGAGCAGAGCCGGTAGAAGGTTACTACGTTTTGATCATGGTTGATTCCGAACTCGGATTGTTAATCGGAGACATGCCTGAGGAGTCCACGGTTAAGAAACTCAAAACCAATAAACAGATGGGGAAATTCTCTTTACTTTCCCGGAAGGAACACTTTTCCGGCAACACCCATTACACAACAAAAGCTCAATTCTCCGATACCGGAAGTTCGCATGATATTCTGATCCGGTGTACCGGAGAAAACGAGGGGTTGAAGTACCCAGTTCTAGTGGTTTACATCGACAAACGGGTCGTGATTCGGGTGAAGAGGTTACAATGGAATTTCAGAGGGAATCAGACCATATTTTTAGATGGATTGTTGGTGGATTTGATGTGGGATGTTCATGACTGGTTCTTCAACACAGAATCCGGGTCCGGGTCGGGTCATGCAGTGTTCATGTTCAGAACAAGGAGTGGGTTGGATAGCAGGTTGTGGTTGGAAGAGAAGATTGTGAAGAGTGATGATGAACAGAAAAAAGGATTCTCATTGTTAGTTTATGCCACTAAAAGCTAAGTTCATATTTTTCTTTGTAGATTTCTTCTCAATTTGATGTGAATTTTTGTCAAATTATCATATAAATTATTTTTTAGACTAATAAAGCTTACAATCAACTCATACCACATGCAATAAAAGTTGTACATCCTCATCATCGATCTGATCATGTGTTAACCCATTTAAATTCATATCATTTTTATCATTTCTTTTATGGGTTTGATAAGTTTCACATAGTCTTGAAGACTTGCTCACATGTTCTTTTTGATTATTTCATCAATCAAAAAAGTTAGAGAGAAAACGTCGAGAAAGCAAGAAACTTTATGTTGTTTATCAATTGACCCATTTCTAATAATTGAATACGAAGATCATATAAGTGTACTTTTCATTAAATTAAGTTCATATGGGTTCTATACTGGTCCCTTTAAGTCAATTGAAGGCTATTATGATTTATTACTTAACCAACTGCAACTTGTTTTTATTATGGTCCAAAAACTCAAATAAATCCAACTAATCAATTAATTGAAAGACTATTCGTACACAATAATTTATGTTTTAAAATATTGTACTGTACAACCTTATAAAATATAAATTGTTGTTTTTTAAGAAAAACTGTTGTTTAAGAATAATTTCCCTAATACACAGCTAGGAAATTCATTGTAAATGTATCAATAAACGAACTTAAAAGTTTTTATATCGAATTTGCTTAAATTTAGGTGGGATTTTTCGAATCTTCGAAAGGGTTCAATTCCCTTTACTTTTCAGAATTTCATCCATTTCTTTTCAAAAAGATTGTTATTTTGTGGTTAAAGTGACAACAAGAAAAGTAAGAGGTGATAGAGAATTTCATATATTTCTATCCAACTAGTATTATATTTTTCTTTTTGTAATTTGGTCCCTAGTTTTACTCGGGACTTCATTTTTCCCCCACTAATTGATGGAACACGTTCATATCATGAGTCTCTTCACCTTTTATATTGATGAGGATCATGGTTTTGTGACATTCACAGAAAAGTACATTCTACAAGATTGTCATAATTGGACTTTATTTCTATGACAGTTTATGTCCCTCATTCAATTTAATAGTCAATGCTAACTGCTAAGGCATTGTTAATTCATGGACACCAAAACTACGGCTAATCATGTGTTTGCTGGATTGGCTCTTAAAATACACATATCACACAAAAAGAAAACACAACTAAGGACCACATGCAAACATTAAATGATAGTAAAAACAAACTACTTCTTATGTATAGACAAACTCTTTACACAAGGTGTATTACAATGATGACATTTTTCATTGAAAACGACAATAATAAACATATTGGGAGAATAATTTAAACAAACTAGTAACTTTTTTATTTTATTTCTTTCACAAATAACCATAACTTCATAATAGATAGCACTGCGAAAATCACTATTGATGCAAAATTTACTTTTTGTAAGGTTTCCACTAACAGGTATTACAAACTAAAAAATATTGTATCATATGCTATGAAACTCTTCATATTATTGAGGAAATCGTTTTTTTTAATTATTTCTTTTGTTGCGGGATCCTCTCGAAAGAGATTTTCACGATAAAAATGCGTTTCATAGTGCGAAAATGAAAATATTCGGCTGAGAGAAATTTTTGAAAAAAAAAATTGATGTAAACATTAAAAAAAATCTAAAAACACCATAAATCGGAAAATTATTTCATAATGTTGGTTTTACAATAAATCTGTGTCGAAATCGATGGTTTATAAGAAAACCATAAATGACTATTTTATTAAAACATTATTTTGAATAATTCTCTAATTTTTCATCTTTAAATCTCGAAATAATGCTCCTACAAAGAAAGACATGTTATATTACGACTAGTATTGGTTCTAATAGGCTTATGGCTCAGTAGTATTGTGTGATGTTATTTATAAAAAGCGATGGTTCAAACACCGTCCGAAACACATACATGAAAGTAAAAATCTCTATTCTAATAAATAAATAGTTTTAATCTCTTTTTGCCAAGTGTCACTCTAATACAACTCCACATTAATATTATGTCATGTGTCATGTAGATATATTAGGCAACTCATTTAAAATTTAAATTTACATTTTCTAATTATATGTTAAATTTGAAGTTATAATAACTTTAAAATTTTGATATATCTCTTAATTAAAAATTTATTTAAAATGATTTATTTAAAATAATTGATTAATAATTATAAATTTTTATTAAAAATGTTTAATGGCTACATGGGTTATAACTAATAATTTATAAATTGAATAGAGTGATTTTTAATCAAAATTGATTGCATTTGTTAGATTGCTTTATACATCCATACAAAGCAAAACACGTGTCTTAGACTACCCTATTCTACGTCTAACAATAGGCACTTGTATCATCCTACTTTTGGTCATGTAGTATTCATGATTTCATGAGACTCATTCTCATATGCTTAAAGTAACTTGTGAGGTTGTGCCCTTTTTTCATGCCTATATGTATGTAATATCTATATTTTGCTACCTAAGAAAGTGGTCCTTCTCACATTCACATCTTTTGAACCCACGAATGATTACACCATACAACAAATCTTCAACCAAAGAAAACATATATATATATATATATATATATATATATATATATATATATATATATATATAAATAAAAGGTCTTGGATTCAATTCCAATGAAAAAAATATATATAATTATTTGCCGTTTAAAAAAAAAAAACTATAACTACTCATTACTTAATTATATATATATATATATATATATATATATATATATATATAGCTAGGTTCAAATGTTTTAACTAATTATTGTGTTATTGTATGCACCAATCAGATTTTAAATAAATCAAATCATTTAATAAATAAGATAAGGGTATTATAGTAATTTTATTATTAGTTAATTATGGTAAAATAGATATACAATTGGATATTAGCTGTATTTCTAGATTCAAAACCCTAAATTGAAGCCAGTATCGTTTTTTCCTTCTTCACTTCTCAAATCCGATCGACACCTCCCAAAATTGCACCTCCTCTTCTTCGCGTCTCCTCCCTCCGGTCGACAGAAGCCAAATGATTGCAGCTCCCTTCTCTATTCTCCAATCGATCGATGAAATTAACAGCTCCTTAATCTTGCTGATTGATCGGACGTAATGGTCTCCCTTTTCCTCCTCTATTTCTGATTCGAATAGAGGAGCCGGAGCCGGTGACTCTAAAATCTCCGGTAGATGGAAAGACGAGGAATCACAGGATTGTGATGGTGGCTTTGTACCCGATTGTGAAACAGAGCATCTATATGTATTACGACATGACCGATGCCCTGAGTATTTTGATAGGTCAGTTTAGAGAGATTGAGATTTCAGATTCCGTCAAGGTTTACGAGTTTTTGAGACGAGTAAGAAAGCAGTTCGACGAGCTTGACAGCTTTTACGATTATTGCAAATCTATCGGCCTTGCAAAGACTCTTTTCAGCTGTTCTAAATGCCATTACTTTTTCTTATATGATAAAAATCAATTTGTTTCTGTAGATGATTAAATGAATGATATTGGTGCGATTCCAATTCTTTTGGAATGGAATCACGAATTCCAATTCTGTTGGAATGGAATCATGAATTCTAATTCTGTTGGAATGGAGTATGGATATGAATTCCAATTCTGTTGGAATGGAATCATGAATTCTAATTTTGTTGTAATTCTTAACAATTGTTACATGTATTCTATAAGAAATAATGTATTTTTTGTTTTTATTCTTCAATTGATTGTTCAAGAATTTGTTGTTCTACAAGAAATTTTTAAAGTCATGATCAAGAAATAGGTTCAAGAATATTTTTATATTTATAGTTCAAGAATATTTTTATTTTTAAATATACTTATAAAAATATTCTGTCAGAATCTCCGAATTAAAAGAATTAAAATTCGTAAAATCGGGTTTTTAAAATTAATAGAATCTATGATCCCTTAAAATATGCAATTTTCCTTTATTAAATGTATATTAATTGACTAAAATACCCTTGTAATTAAATTAGATGATATTTTTCAATTATATTTAATTCAATAATATGTATTAATCACTTTCTTAAAATAAGTAAAATTGATTGGCCCACAATTATGCATACAATAACACAATAATTACTTTGAATAGAATAACCTAGGCCTATATATATATATATATATATATATATATATATATATATATATATATATATATATATATATATAACCACTCACGACTTAATAATGTATAGCATACATTATTTTCAATTTCAAAGACCAAAATGATTTAACATTAAAAGAAATTATAAAAATGATATAATAAAATCTTCTCTTGTTTCAAAATCTTATTGGTTTAGTTTTGGAGCGAAATTGATCGAGTCATAGCTTGGTTTTGTTAAAAGAGTTAGTTACCAACTATGGCCCAACTTTGTTCAAAATTTCCATTCTTGGTGTTTGATGAAGGGTTTCGAAAAGATGATGAATGAGTCCTGGGGGCTGGGTATAGGTTCAGAGGGTTGGAAAATAAATTGGATTTGGGTAAGAACTTATGACTTTTAAAAAGGGGAAAATGACTCTTGAGGGTAACTAACTGTTGCGTTTGTTTTCATTTGGTCACTTTCCTTTTTTTTGTACTTAATATACCATCGAACTTGTTGTTTGTGTTCACCATAACCTTTTTGACCGGTGATAGCCGGTCAAAGGGTTATGGTGAATACAAACAACAAGTTCGATGGTATATTGAGTTCACAAAAAAGAAAAGGGACCAAATGAGAACAAACTCAGTAGTTGGTAACCCTCTTGAGTCATTTTCCCCGAAAAGTTAAATGAAATTAAAGTTGTAAAATTATCAAAGACTGCAACCTTCTTTGGCCATAACGTATATGAGGAGCGTTTCGGAGGGGTAACTTCGTTAAAACATGGTCAATGCTATGCTTACTGTGGTTAGTTGTCAACACCTCTCTACAAAAGGATATGACTGTATATGAGAGGTATATTTATCAGCATAAACGTTTACCTCAAGATATATTATGGTGATGTGT